TTTCCAAACATCTGGGCCTGGATAAGTCAGGCTTCCTGGGCAACCATGACCCCAGAAATTTAGTTCTCTCTGCCATCCTCAAAGTAAAACCCAAGAATCAGCAACTTAATGAAAATGCAGTAAATTAGCACCTCTAGACAAGAGCAGAGTTCATTCAGGGCTGGGGTCTGCCTGGCTGAGCCAGTACTCTCTCCATTTTAATAGTTTAATAAAAATTAGCATAATTAACGAACATCTGTATGATCCAGAGTGGTGCAATTTGGCACTTGGAAACGAGGACTTAAACATGATTGCTGTGAGTTTAATGTTGTTTTAATTCTTTCTGGCACTGTGCAGTGAAATAAACGTTTGGTGGTGATGGTTCTCGGCCGGATCTCATTTGCATTTTTCTCCCTTTGATTATGAGCAATTGTGGACTCCCCAGCAATTCATCAAAGTAGAAATTATTTTAAAATACCTCGTGGTGTTCAGACTGGGCTGGAGCAACGCACGGGGGGTGGTAGTGGGAGAGAAGGCTAGAAATGTTCCATTCATGCTTTCGTTGTCCCAGCCCCGCAGCCCTCTCTGGGTATCCAGCCAAGGGAGGAAATCTGGAACAGACAGATCTCAGGACCTGTGCAGCAGGAGACATATGGGCTCCGAGACGCTAGCACCCTCCTTGCACTTCCACCTGCTCTTCCGTTTGGAAGGGCAGAGGGTTGATTTCGTGCATTCTGCCTTTCGCGGCTGTGGTGAAGCAACTGTATCTGCAGTCGGCAGGTCAGCGCTCCCCTCGAGCAACAGTGAGGTCACTGGGAGGTATGCCTTTGCAGGTGCCCTGCCGAGCCTCATCTGCCTCCCGTTTTGCTCCCTCTTGGAGTTGGCAAAGAGCAGCTTCCCAAGGCCTGGTCTGCTGGCTAGAAAGGAGAGAGAGCCTTGTAAAGTGTTGAGTCAGTGTCAGGGGGTCCTGAACAGTTCCTCCCCACCCCCTCTGGGGGGCAGCACGTGTCTTCTGGGAACCCTTGCAGGGAATGGAGATGACAACATCTGGCAGGTAGAAGGTTGCTTAAGCGAGTTGACTTTGATCAAAGGACTGTGGGATAGCACTGGGCCTCCTGCCTGTGAGGCTGCAGATGAGCTGATGGCTGTGCTCCCAAGGGACGGTGAGAGGGATGCAGAGCATGCATTTCCTCTTCACAGCCAGGCCTCATCCACAGGCACGGCCCAGAGGACCGCTCAGCACAGGGCAACACTGTGACAAAACAAGGCAGAAATGGCCCTCACCTCAGTACTGGGAAAATGGACAGGAATTTGTACCAAAAGGAACTTAAAAATGTCCTGACATACATTTTTTTTAAAGATTTATTTTTTTTTTATTGGAAAGTCAGCTATACAATCTTCCTTCCACTGATTCACTCCCTAAGTGGCCACAACAGTTGGAGCTGAGCCAATCCAAAGCCAGAAGCCTGGAGCCTCCTCCGGGTCTCCCAAGCAGGTACAGAGTCCCACGGTCCCAGGCCATTCTTGACTGCTTTCCCGGACCACAAGCTGGGAGCTGGATGGGAAGCGAGGCTGCCAGGATTAGAACCTGCACCCATATGGGATCCCTGCGTGTGCAAGGTGAGGACTAGGCTACCATGCCGGGCCCCTGACATACATCTTTTTAAAACAAAAGTAGAAAATCAGGGACAGGTGTTTGGCACTGTTAAGATGCCGCTGGGGCAGCCTGCATCCCCTGTCATAGTGTGAGAGTCCAAGCAGTGCTGTTTTGAACCCCGCTCTCTGCAGAGCCACAGCCTGGGATGCAGCAGATGCTGTGCAAGGGCTTGACTGTGACCAGTCATGTGGGAGACCTGGACTGAGTTCCAGGCTGCTGGTTTGTACCTGGCTAAGTGCTGGCTAATGCTCTGGCTGTGTGTGTGTGTGTGTGTGTGTGTGTGTGTGTGTGTGTGTGTGTTTCTGTTTCTGTCTCTCTGCTTCACAAATAAAAATGAAAACAGATAAAGAAAAAAAATTTTTTCAAATATCCTGAGAATCATAAGCTAAAAGACTCTGGGTAACTTTCCATAAGGTAGTGCAAACTGCAGAGAGCACTTGCCTTGCAGAAGGACAGGGATGAGGAAGTGAGAAACAGGAGGATGCGGTAGATACATCCCAGTGTTTATGACCGGTTTCTTTAAAAGCCAATGCGCGGGGTGCTGCTTGACCTAAAGGTTAAAACAGCTGCGTCTCATATTGGAGTGTCTGGGTTCTCGTCCTGGCTCTACTTCCAGTTCTAGCTGCCTGCCACTGCACGCCTTGGAATATGGCAAGTGATGGCTCAAGGACTCACGCCCCTGCCACCCAGATTGGGTTCCAGGCTATAGGCTTCAGGCCGACTCCCAGCCCTAGGTGTTGCAAGCGTCTGGGGCGTGCACCAGCAGAGAACACCTCTCTGTCTCCCTTTCTCTCCTGTCTCCCTCCTTCCCCTCCTCTCGCTGCCTTTCAAATAAAATAAGTAAGATTTTTTTTAAAAGGAAGTTTGCTGGTCCCACAAGGATAAAGTCAATACTCTTGCTTCTTGTGACTCTCCTTGGTATTCAAGAAGCCGCATGGGGCGACTGCTCCAAAGGCAGTTGATCTCTTTCTGCCACAACCGTTTCAATCAGCAGGGAAATAGCTTGGCATTAGTTGTAAACAGATCTGCTCTGCTGAGAATATGAATTCCCACTGCCCCCTTCATTTCATCATCACCTCGTTTTAACAGGTATTTATTTGGCCCACTCTGTGCAGAGTATCACTCCGAAGCTGAGAATACAACAGCAACAAAGAAAAGCAGCCCTCATGGCTGACTGTGAGACTCCTACTCAGGGAAGGGCCTGGCATTGGGGACCACGTGGACCTCATCAGCATGGGGCTGGGGGTGGTTTCAGAAAGTAAGAGACTGTGCAATGGAGTGTTGAGGGATGCCTGGGGGTTTAGGCCAAGGGAAGGCTCCAAGGCGAGAGGCGCCTATGACTCACTGGAGCAGCTGCGACAAGTTCTGTTCTCCTAAGAGGACACCAGATTAGGGAGTGAATGACAGTGCTGGGCAGTGAGTGGTGCCATGCCATGCTGAGCCCTGTCCATCTTGTCAAGAAGCTGAAAGGGGCCAGGGTCTAACTCAGCAGTGACACCCACATCCCACATGGAGGTATCCAAGGCTTGAAGCCTGGCTCCAGCTCATGACTTCAGCTTCCTCCTAATGCCGACCCTTCGGAGGGAGCTGTGATGGCAACCACAGCACAAGGGAGAAATGCAGCAAGGGCCTGCAAAAGAGAATGAGGAGAAGCAAACAGGGAGATAGGAGGGAACCATGATAAAATCAGCAGCAGCGTAGAAACAAAGAGAAGGCCTCGAGGAGGATTGGTAGCAGCACTGCTAAGAAGTCAAGCCTCTTAAGGACAGACTACCCAGAGATGCTGAGCCATGAGGAGGTGGGAGACCAGGTGGTCGGGAACCTGCTCAGAGCAGCTTGAAAGGGGCAAATGGAAAAAAGGAAAGTGAGCAGTAAGTGGCCTAATCCCTTCCAAGACGTTTGGAGCGGAAATCTGCATTGTCTGGCAGAAAGGGCAAACGTGTGTGGTAGAGGCCCCCTCGGAGTTGCTCTCAGACACGTTCCGGTGCTGACTGAAGGTGCCACTACCACAGACCCCACGGAACCTCATCTCTAAGCAAGGGAAGAGAAAGGTTGCAAACCCACAGTGTGAAGGAGAGCGGTAAGCCAGGACAGGGTTGCCTCCCCAAATCCAACAGGAAAGATGGCCGTCAGGGCAGACAAGTCCTTGCTCTGGCGGCTGGAGGTTGACACATCTGATGACTGTCGGCTTCTCATTGAAGGTGGACAAAAGTCATCAGCGGAGGGGGAGGGGAGCAGCACTGGGGGAAGGGAGACAACGCTTTGGAGAAATAGCAGGTTCCCAGTTCCTGCTAGGGACCCCGAGGCTTCTAGGTTACCACTCTGGTTTTCTTGCTCTTGTTTTTCTTTCTAGTAGAACTCAGCATCCAGAAGTGCAAAAGCAGTTTGCTCCATGATTCCTTGTGTCCAGTTGAAACAGGATATAGTTCCCATTCTTAAAGTTTTATGCTAATTTTTCTTCATTAAGAAGGAAAAAAAATTATTCTGGCGTGTTCAGGGATAGCCCTAATGTGTTCAGCATGAGCTGTGCCTCTGAGAAGCACTTCTGCGTTCCAGGGGTTCTGCCCTTAACCTCACAGCCACCCAGTGCACCCAGTGCACTCCCGTCGACCGGGGCACTCAGCCCCTTCTTGGTTGCCTCTTTCTTGGTCCTGCCTGCCTGCCACTGATGTCCCAGTCCACTTCCCACCCCTACCAGAGAAGCACTGAGTTCACAGTACCCACCATGTGTCAAACCCTTCCAGCTGTTTCTGCCTCAGCTGTGTGGCTTAGGCCCCCACACCACAGAGAAGGGCTGATTCCCCCTCTGCTCCCACCAATGAGCAAGGCAAGACTGGGACAGCATAAGGTCACATGGCTGCTAAATGACCAAGCAGGGGCTTACTCCCAGCCTGTCTGACTCCAAGCCCATTACTCTATGCTGAGTGCTCCCGAGGACCAAACGATGTCCCAATGCGTCATTCTATCCCTCCTGGGGACTCCAACAGCACTTGGCACATAGAGGATGCCTGGTACTTAACAGTATTGATTTGAACTCTGGCCTTCTGAACAGCGACCGTGTTCTCTGAAAAGGGCCTACTCATCTGTTTGGTTAAAAGACATTGAAAAAACAAAAAGCTCCTTAGGTTTAGCATTGGTATCCAAGAGGCCAAGTTTATGGTAGAGACAAGAAGACAGGACCATGAACATGTTTGCTTTCCTCTGCTATCTGACTGCTTTAATAATCTCATCAAGGGTGTAAATGGTTTATGCTGATGGTGCCAGCTAAGGAACTACCCGGCACCCACCTGGCAACCCACGTGAGGTCTGTAACAGACGGACAGGACCAAGCTCCAGCTGACCCCACCCTCTCTTCCTTCTCTAGGAATATAACGCATGTGGCTGGTGGGTAGGAGAGCTCAACAACCTCATCGGGATCGTGCCAAAGGACTATCTCACCTCTGCCTTTGACCTGGACGAAAGCTGAAGCTCAGGCAGCAGTCCACCATCCATGAGCCGCCCTTCTGGTGAGTGGACCCTGTCAGCCATGCCGGAGTCCTCTGTGGGAGATGGGAGTCACGAGGGAGATGGCTTTTCCTCCCTTTCAGTAGAGACGCTGATGAGTCACTGTCAAAACAAAATGTGCCTGGAATTTTTTTCTTCCTAAATCTAGGGGCTGTGTCCTTTAAGATTTGGTTCAAGTAAAAATGACAGAGAAATCTAAAATCACAGTGACTTCATTAACGCAGAAACTTTGTTCTTCCTCTCTGCATTCTCCAAAACTTCGGAGGAGCGAGTCCCAGGCACTAGCTCTTTTTCGTCCACTCTCTGTGGTCAGCTTTGTCAGGGCTGCCTCGTGGCCAACATGGGTGCTCCTGCGGGTCGGAACATCCCGTGGGATGCAGTCAGATGCGCTCGGAGGTCCTAAAGGACCTGGCGCATGCTTGAGGAGCAAGAACTCAACGCTGTGCTTGCAAACAGCAGGGATGACTGGTTTGGACAGGATCACAGTCAGATCCACTTTGGTGCAGAGTGGTTTTGTTTGGGATTCACATGGTGACAGAGGGAACCCAAGACGGGTGTGCCTCATCTTCCAACGTGAAGTGGGGGCAGCCTCCGTGGTACACGGGGTGGAAGATAACATAAAGTGGCCTACTCTCCTTGGAACCTTCCAGGCCGGGGCCCACGCTAGTGCTCTGACGCAGCTGTGTGAATTCATTGAGGAAAGTATGTAAGGCTGGCTCCCACTGCCCATGGCCCTGGATGTCACCACGCTCCAGCTCAGGCCCGTTGCTCAAGATCTGACATTGACACTGTCCCAGTGGGACCGTGGTTCCCTGACCGTGAACTCAGGGGAGCTGAAGTTTTTCCACACAGTCTAAACAGTCTCATCCCACTTCCCTCTTTTTTTTTTTTTATTGTTTCAAGTGGTTTATATCCCCTTTATTCTCTTGGACCCAATAATTCTACTTCTTGGGGTTTGTCTACAGCTGTAACGTGCGTACATGGAAAACGGTACGCATGCACGAGTATTCATTTGTAGCAACAACTGATCGGAAATGGCCCAGATGCTCAACAAAGAGCTAGTCAGGTCATTATAGCACCTTCGGCAACTTGAATATGAATAACAGTAAAAAAGGAACAATTATGCAATGCATTCTGAGACATGTTAATAACTAAATGAAATAATAGCAACAAAGAAGAGTAGGCTGAAGCGGCCCCGTTTTGCAATGGAGACAGCATGTACCTGTTGTTGTTGTTGTTTAATATTTTTTAATATATATGAGATCATTCTGAAAGGAGAAAAAAAAATGAAAAGATTGGTTACCTTCAAAGAGAAGCTGGAGACAGACTGGTGACCAAGGCAGATGTTCCACCCTATGCCCCTCCATCCTTCTTACTGTGGATCCTAAAAGCCGATGTGTGTCTCTTTCCCCCTTTAGGGAACATTCTCCCCTCCACCCTGCCTTTATAAAGAAACTGAGCAAGAGCTTCAACGCCCTGCTGCCACCACCCCACCACTGCCACCAAGACACCCAAGTGGCAGCCACCTTGCAGGGATTGCAAACCACCAAAGAGACAAGTGGTTAGAGACACACTCCCCAAACCTGTTCCTGACCCTGCCTGGTCTTGGCACCCTTCCCACGCATCCACACACCTGACCGAGAGAAGGCGCCCAAAAAACCAGAGGAGGAGGAAGTTCACTTTTGGCGTTGGCTGATTGGAAAAGCACAAATAAACTTTGGATTTGATTCTTTGCCATGTGTGATGGTATTCAATTCCTTTCTTGTTTTATGTGAGGGACAGAGACAAACTCCCATCCCCACCCCCACCCCAAATGCCCACCACAGCTGGGACTGAGCCAGGCTGAAATCGGGAGCTGGGAACTCCATCCAGGTCTCCCATCACCTGAGCATCACCTCTGCATCAACAGGAAGCTGGAGTCAAGAGCCAGAACCAAATAGGGAAGCCAGGTACTCGCCATGGGAAGTGAGCACCACTGAATTCCTGTAGGTAGTGGTGTCACAATGCTGCTTCTGGAGTCTCACCACCTCCAAAGTGGGAAAGGAGTCAGTCAAAGAGAAAAATAAAAGCACGGGCCAGAATTGTGGTCAGTGAGTCCAGCTGCCACCTGCCATGTCTGCATTCCACATCCGAGTACTAGTTTGAGTCCCGGCTGCTCTGACTCTGATCCAGCTCCCTCCTAATGCACTTAGGAAGGCAGCAAAAGAAGGCCGAGGACTGGGACTGTGGTGAGCTGGAGTTCCTGACTTCAGCCTAGCCCAGCCCTGGCTATTGAGCCGTCAGATGGAAGAATCAGTCTCTCTCTCTCCAACCTTCAAATAAATAAATCTTAAACAGAAAGAAAACAAGGGTCTGGTGCAGTGGCCTAGCAGCTAAAGTCCTTGCCTTGCTCGCACCAGGATCTCATATGGACGTTGGTTCATATCCTGGCTGCTCCACTTCCCTTCCAGTTCCCTGCCTGTGGCCTGGGAAAACAGTGGAGGATGGCCCAAAGACTTGGGACCCTGCACCCGTGTGGGAGACCTGGAGGAGGTTCCTGGCTCCTGGCTCTGGATCAGCATAGCATCAGCCGTTGCGGTCCCTTGAGGAGTGAATCATCGGACGGAATATCTTCCTCTCTGTCTCTCCTCCTCTCTGTATATCTGCATTTCCAATAAATAAATAAATCTTTAGAAAGAGAAAGAGAGAAAGAAAGAGACAAAGAAAGAAAGAAAGAAAGAAAGAAAGAAAGAAAGAAAGAAAGAAAGAAAGAGAGAAAGAAAGAAAGAAAGAAAAGAAAGAAAGAGAGAAAACAAAAGCCAAGACAAAGAAGAGACGTGCAGATATTTTCCAGATCCGAGTTGCCTCTGAAGTCCGGGTCTGCCGGCTTCTGGTTCACGTCTCAGACTTCCTGTGGTTGGTACAGTTACCTTCCTATCTACAGCTGCCGCACGCACGAACTCACCCAGCAGCAGATACAGTCATGTGTGTAATGATCACAGAGAGCCTTTTTTCTTCTCCTTATTCCCTGAACAATACAGTTGAAAAACAGACTACATTGTATTAAATATTATAGGTAATCTATAAATGATTTAAAATATATGGGAAGGTCCTGCACAATAGCCTAGTGGCTGAAGTCCTTGCCTTGCATGCTCCGGGTTCCATATGGGAGCCTATTCATAGCCCGGCAGCTCCACTTCCCATCCAGCTCCCTGCTTGTGGCCTTGGAAAGCAATTGAGGACAGCCCAGGGCCTTGGGACCCTGCATCTGTGTGAACGACCTGGAAGAGGCATCAAACTCCTGACTTCAGATCAGCTCAGCTCCAGCCATTTGGGCAGCTTGGAAATTAATCAACAGATGAAAGATCTTCCTCTCTGTGTCTCCTCCTGTCTGTATATCTGATTTTCCAATAAAATAAGTCTTTTTAAAAATCTTGCTTAAGGGCATGTGTCAGAGCTGGGCCTCCTCAGTAGCTCAGACGAGCAGTGGACAGCATATCCAGATGCACATGGAGGATATGGTGGCACATTGGAGCCTCCAGAGGATGCCTGGTACCATGGCAGAGAATGGAGGACAGAACAAATTGATGAACTATTCCAACCAAGCGTTGGCAGTGAATATCTGGGCAGACTCTAAGGTGGATCATAGCAGCCAGTTGATTCTGAAGAGATTTCATCACAATTAGAGTGGCAGATTGACAGCAATTCAGGACTGTTAAATATCAAAACCCTTTGAGAACTTCATGGCATTGTAAATTTCTCTTTTTCTTCCTGTTGTTGATTTTGTATTGTGACTTTTCATTTAATGGGATGTATGGTAACTGTGTAAGGGGCACTATCATGTCCAGACGTGAGAATACAATATACTAGGCATCTCTACTTCCAGATCAAAGATGGACTCCCAATGAAACTGTTAACTATATGTTGACAATAGGATGCTGGACTCCCTGCCATTGTCCATACTGGCAATAATAGACATATGACTGTTTATGAAGAACTATATTATAGTAATAATAGAGGGGAATTCAGTGGGATGGGAGAGGGACTTGGGGTGAGGGCAAGGGAAATCCCAAAGCCTATGGAACTGTATCATAAAATGATAATAATTTTAAAATTTGTAAACAAAAAACTTGCCTAAATAAATAAAGTATATGGGAAGGGGCATAGCAAATAAAGCTACCACCATATGGATGCCAGTGTCATGTCCTAGCTGCTCCACTTCTGATCCAGCTCCCTGCTAATGTGCCTGGGAAATCAATGGAGGATGGCCAAGCACTTGGGGCTCTGTATCCATGTGGGAGATCTGGATACAGCTCCTAGTTCTTAGCTTTGGACCAGCCCAGCTCCTGCCACTGCAGCCAGTTTGGTGAGTAAATCAACAGTTGAAAGATCTTTCTCTCTCTCTCTCTGACTTTCAAATAAGTAAATCGTTTTTGAAAATAAAAATAAAGTATATGGGAAGATGTATATTCACCATTTTGTATATAAGACTTAAACATCCATATTATTGTTGTTACCTGTGGGGAGGCCTTGGGATATATCCCTGTGGATACTGAGAAGCAACTAGGTTATTTAAAAAAATTTTTTTTAATTTATTTATGTGAAAGGTAGAATAACAAAGAAAGAGCGAGAGAGCTGGCCCAGGCCAAAACCAGGAACCCAGAGCTCCGTCCAGCTCTCCCACGTGGGTGGCAGGAATCCTGGCACATGAGCCAGCCATCCTCCACTTCCTCCCCGGGCACGTGAGCATAGGGAACTGAAACAAGAGCAAAGTTGCCAGAACTCAACCCAGTGTTCTCTTATGGGATACCGGCACTGCAGGTGGGGCAGCTTAGCTCCTGGCACTAAAATACCAGACCCTCTTTGGTTATTTTGTCTTTATGTACCAAACGCCCCAAAACAAAACCAAGCCTGAGGGTGTGGGGAGGGGCAGTATGATGCTTCAACTGGCCAATCCTCCCCCTGCGAGCACCAGAATCCCATTTGGATGCTGGTTTGTATCCCAGCTGTCCCCCCTTCCCATCCAGCTTCCCGGTGGTGGCCTGGGAAAGCAGTGGAGGATGTTCCAAAGCCTTGGGACTCTACACCTACATGGGAGACTCTGAGGAAGCTCCTGGCTCCTGGCTTCAGATCAGCTCAGAACAGATCAGCTCAGAACAGCTCCAGAACAGCTCTGGCTGTTGTAGCCATTTGGGGAGTGAACCAGCAGATGGAAGATCTTTCTCTCCTTCTCTCTGTAAATCTGCATTTCCAATAAAAATAAATAAACCTTTTTTTTTAAAAAAAAAAAAAAAAGCGAGGTGCTGGAGTCAGCATGTTGGGGAGCTCCTCCCCAGCCTTGGGACATTTGACAATCCCAGACAGGAGCTGAGGGGAGGTCTTCGAGGAGGGTTAGCAAATTACAGGGCTCCTGCTTGCCTTCCTTGTACTGCTCCCCCTGCTCTGCCCATCTGCACGTTGAAGATGCAGCGGAAAGCAGTGGCTAAGAACATACACTCCACGACCTGCAGCCTGAGAAGAACCTCCAGCTCCCGGTGCTGTGTTCTCTGAGCCGGGTGCTTGGTCTTCCATCCCTCAGCGTCCTCATCATAGAAGGGATATATGCTATCTCACTAGGTAAGTAGGAAGTGGGAAGTATCTAGCAGGTGTAACATTCTTGCTATGATGCTGTTGAGGAAGGGTTAGTTGCTACTGGTGCCTGGCTCTCTCCGCCAGAACTTTTCCACAGACAAGGCACTGCTACTGGAACTGACGGTACGCAACGTGTCACAACCACATGGACGCGTCGGGGTAAGACACACATTCCCCGTCACTCCGAGAGAGAAAAACCAAGGAGCCAACGGGGTATCACTGGGCTCCAACTCTTACCAAAAAACCCTGATGTCAACTATTCATTTCCAGATGTTCTGGCCCAAGAGTAACAAGAGGAAACCCTTTTTTGCCTGTGATGGATAAAGAGGTAAGAGAAGGACACTTTATGACTTCTGGGGGAGGGAGAGGGGAGAGTAAGGGGAAAAAGCAATACAGAAGTGTCCCTGCCTATGAAATTGTATCATAAAAGAAAAAAAAAAAGAAAAAGAAAAAAAGTGTTCCTAACGTCCCTCCTCTTTACATGGGGTGCTACAGGAGAAAGAACCACTAGGTGGCAGCATACGAGCACATGAACCAGAGAGAACCAATTGCCTTCGGTTTTAAGAACCTTTGCACCAATCCCAACCCACAGGTAAGGACAATGGGTATTGTTCTAAAGGGTTTAGCAGACTGCTCTGTGCCCCACACCTCATCTTCCCTGAAGAACTCCCAAGAACCCTGTCTAGAAGGCTGAGTGGCTAAGAGGCCCACTGGGTCACTTGCTGTGTGACTGGGACACTGGGAAGGAGGATCCCAGAAGAGGAAGAGCAGGTATCTGGGACAGGGTGAGAAGTAGGTTGGAAAAAGAAAATGGTAAAATGTAACTCTGTCACTCTAACCAGCATGGTCCTTGGCTCCTATCCTTTCAGAGTCCTCCAGTGCAATGGTCCCCTCTCTACCCAGGAACCACAAGAGACCACCATTAGCCAGACTCCACAGAGCTTTCTGTCCCCTCTGTCACCACATTCAGACCTCTGGTCCTTCTAGCCAGCAGCTACAGGGCCAAGACGTTAGGGAGAGCCTGAACAAAAGGACTGATTGGGAATCCAGTCTGTCTGGGACTGATGGACTTTGTTACGATGCAAGAAAGGCTCCCCGAGTTGGTTAGACCGGGTACTGGTTC